ATCAAACTCAATTGTATTCTTCTTTTTTGTTTTTGGTGTAAACAGATTTACACAGAAGATACAGTGACAGTCATAGACATACTAGGATCTTGCTAGGTCTCAAATCAGAACATCTACTAATCCTCTTCATGTAAATTTGGTTTTCAGTGCAACCTATGTACTGATATTTTTAATATATACAATAGTTACCAATTCTAAAAAAAAAAGGTGCAATAGAGTACGGCGACAAGCCGACAACCGAGGAGTTGAGTTGAGAGCAAAAAGAAAATTACACTTGACGAGGGGAGGGTTTGAGGTGTGTGACGGGAGGGGCAGTGGGAGATAAGGTACGTTGGAGGTACTTATTATTAGAGAAATGAGAAATTTATTCAGCTTGCTGACTAAGATTCACTTTTATAACGACAAGCATGTTTGGAAGTAAGAGACTGACATCTTGAAATCCTTCCTGTACTTCCTATTCATCCGCCTATAGTGTCTAATTTATTGCTCCATATTTTTGTACAGAAACTTATGAAGAATATTGACGAGTATATTAGTTCAACTCCACAAATAGCTGAGGATGGCGGGATTGTTCTGGGATCTAAAAGAACTACTGCATTTCTGGTTGATGCTAAGACTGGCCGCCTGATTTATACATATAGGATGCCTGACTCTCCAGCAACTAACAACAATGACATTACTTTTCATCATAATGGCACCATTGATGAAGAGAGTCTGCCCACATACACGCTTTACATCACCAGAACAGACTATGCATTGACATCTTTTATTCCAAACTCAGACCAAGTGTTATGGAACATGACTGTTGCTGAAATAGGGGCTGCTTCTCTTTGCAAAGACATCGAGGATCCATTTAGTGGGGATATTCTGGATTCTGACAGATCTGAACCTGACGTACATTTCGATATGCCATTGCCATGTCAGTCAAGGGCCCTTATCCACAGACGTCGAAGTCAGCAGGAGAAGATGCTCCCGGGTGCTCATCGTCCGGAGCTCCCCTCATCAGAGACAAATGTTGATAATGCAGACACCTCCCATTTGGAATATGTTATAAAAAGAACTGTGTTTGGCATATTGGTGGTGTTCATACTTTTAATCATCAAAAAGAAAAATTCAGAAGATGTTAAAACCCAATTTAAAGAAGGAATAACCAAGTCTTCTGAAAGATTGAGCACGCCAGTTCGCAATATTTTAGCCACTCTTGTGGGAGCTTTAACACGCAATCGTGATTCAGTGGCTGAAGTCAAGTTGGTTAGACAGCCCGGCAACTCACATTCACCAAATGTACCTTCAAAAAGGAAAAAGTCTCGGAAGTCTGGAAAGAGTGGGAGCAATGGTGAGAAAAGTGATAAAGGCCCCTCATCTGATGGTGGACTTCAGTATGCAGATGTGGATGCTGATAATAAACTGTTGCTGAACCTTATTCAACCAAGTATATATGGCAAAGGTGGGCGCACTATCGGTAAGTTGTTTGTCTCCAGTACAGAGATTGCTAAAGGGAGCAATGGTACAGTTGTCCTTGAAGGAATTTATGATGGTCGTGCAGTTGCTGTGAAAAGGCTTGTCCGGGCACATCATGATATTGCCTTCAAAGAAATAAAGAATCTTATTGCATCTGATCGACATCCAAATATTGTTCGGTGGTATGGTGTGGAACAAGACCAAGATTTTGTTTATCTTGCATTGGAACGCTGCATTTGCAGCTTGAGTGACCTTATTCAGATTTATGCCGACACTACAGTAAATGCACGTCTTAATCAGAACTTGGATGCAGAATCTACAAAGCGTAGAATTCATTTGGACTATTTGAAGGGTATTATGTTGGATACTGAGTTAAGGAAAGAAAATGGTTTTCCTTCCCCTTTGTTGCTCAAATTGATGAGGTTCGTGGAATTATTTCATAATGAATTTGATTTTGTGCCTCTAATTCGTGGTATACGGTGGGTTACTCTGCAACCCGTTAGATGGTGACTTGAAGAAAGGATGATACTTCACAAGGAAGGGTGCTCTTTTTATTCTTTCCTTTTTCTGTGTTTGCCTGTTTTGCATAGCACTCGTGCACAGAGGAGAGAGGGAGGGAGGTGATATTATACATCATAAATTCATTCTTGGCATATTGTTCTATGATGCTCTTTTAGTAACGTTTTTACATATCACATGTTTTCATAGTGATTAATTTATGTGGCATCATTTCAGGTCTTCTTCGCCTGGTTAACTCCAAAAGATCATTTGCTTCCTATGCGACTTGCCATCAGGTCTTTAGAAGTCCTTTATTTAGGGGAAGAACTAGGTGAACTTCACTTTGTTCAACTCTTGCTTATCCCGCCCACAGCGGGATAGAGCGTGGGCGGTATAGAGCAAAACACTTTGACGAGAAAATTCTCATTCTTCTGACTCATAATTTCTTGAGATAATGGCTTTATAATTAGCCTTAGCACTGTGCTCTTCATGGTTTTTAGGGTTTGGTGCTTTTCCATCCGTGCTTTCTCATCTGTGTTCTCTTACAGTTTTACTATTTTCTGCCTTCGGTATAATAGGTTATCTGCTACAAGATTTACCCCCTCTCTGGGGAAAAGAAGGGGCCTGTATGACTGCTCCGTCCTTTATCAAACCTATAAAAGTTTTCTGCATCTTGCATTTCTAGACTGTCATCTTGCAAAGGCCTAAACTGCTGTTTGGTTAATAAGCGCTTAGAAGAATTATATTTCTGTTTCTGTACATGGAAGTTGTAATCTTTGCAGCGCCTTTGAACAAAAAATTGGACCAATTTTCTTGTCTCTTTTAATTCCATATAGTTTTCTGAACTGCAATTTGACTGGGTATGGCACACTTTTGGTGTTCTGATTTTTTTCTGGAGGACAGGGATGTGGTATCTGGTCTTGTGCATCTTCATGATTTGGGGATCATTCATCGAGACCTGAAGCCCCCAAATGTTTTGATAACTAAGGAAAGATTCTTAGGTGCTAAGCTTTCTGACATGGGAATTAGCAAGCGCCTCATTGGAGATATGTCTTCATTAGGTCATCACGCGACAGGCAAGTAGTTATAAAGTAGTTTTACATTAGCTGGTAGTGCATGATAAACTTATGTTCAGTCCCACCACCATTTGTATGCTCTGTTATCAATTAACTTGCATGACATACTGAGTATTGCTATGCGTCCATGACACTTTGTTGTCGTCCTTGCTGCTTACTGGAGAAGATTGTTTGACCGACAATTGAGGTCATTCTCACACTAGGCTCTTCTTTTGGAGCCTCTGAGCTTTTAAATTTTCTACGAGCACTGCTCCTGCTTGCCTGAGCATCTTGTCTTTAACTTTTGTTGCTTAGATTTCCACTCTTTTTATTTGCGATGAATTTTGCAGGTTATGGAAGTTCAGGATGGCAAGCTCCTGAACAGCTTCTTCATGGACGTCAAACACGTGCTGTTGATATATTCAGTCTGGGGTGTGTTCTGTTTTTCTGCGTGACTGATGGTAGTCATCCCTTTGGAAGCCCTCTTGAGCGTGACATTAACATTACAAAGAACAAAATTGATCTTTTCTTGGTGGAACATATCCCTGAAGCTGTGGATCTCTTTTCTCAATTATTAGACCCCAATGCTGAGTTGAGGTAATAAGTGAAAATGTTTATTTTTAGTTTATATACTAAAAAGTCAAACACTTAGCGCATGTAGCAAATAATTTTGGACAGAGTCACTTATTGGCCATAGACATTCTTGTGGCCAGTTACGGCAGGAATTTCTCTTTGAATTGCATTATTACCTTCTTACTCTAATAATGTTTATGGAGATGACTATGCCCTTCTTTATCTCCCTTTATAATTGCAGCTGCTGAACGATCATTTCAAAGTTCAGCCAGTATTTTATGCTTATTCATAAAAAATAAGAAGGCTTACAGATTATGACAATCTAGGTGTACTTTTCAAGTTTTAGCTAAATAAAACTTTCAGCTCAATTTAGTAAAGTAATGCTTGGTAAGTCCTGAACTACTTGACATTTTAAGTAGGCTGTGTAATTTTCCCTTCGTTGTTCAGAGACGCAGAAAATCTTCTTAACCACTTGGAGAGCTCAGACTTCCTCTGAAAGCTTAGATTGTTTCGAAATCTCTAAGAAACCTTCTAATTGAGTTATTTCTTGCTGTTTGGGCGAAAGAACTATTTGCTGCAATGATACGTAAACTTCACCAGAAGAGTATCTGATGGAGCAAAGAACATGCAAAAGTTTTGATCAGTAAAAGCATGTTTGTTTAATTATAGTATAGTGACTATGCTCTTATGAAATTGAGAAAAATATAGCTTTTGGATTCTCAATGTCATGTTAAACTTGAAACAGACATCGTGAGAGAGACCAAATTTAAGAGGATATATCAAGATTTCTGCATATGGTTTCAATCAATAAACAATTAACATTGTAATGGAAAAATTGACCATAGTGATCTCATGGATAAAGCGCCTGTTGTTTTAGTAGATATACTAAGTGCAATTGCCTTTGCTAAACTCTTGTTTTTTCTTTTTCTTAATTTTGTGTGTCCAAGACCGAAGGCCGTGGACGTGCTTGCTCATCCTTTCTTTTGGACATCTGAGATGCGATTGTCATTTCTTCGTGACTCAAGCGACAGGGTGGAACTCGAAGACAGGGAGACTTCTTCTGATCTCCTGAAAGCATTGGAAGGTACAGCACCAGTTGCTTTGGGTGGGAAATGGGATGAGAAGATGGAACCTCCATTCATCAACAATATTGGTCGTTACAGGCGTTATAAATTCGACAGTGTTCGTGATTTGCTGCGAGTCATGCGTAACAAGCTAAATCATTATAGAGAGCTTCCCACCGAAATTCAGGTTAGTTCTGATAAATTTATATACTCCTTGTCGTTATTCGAAGGATTGGTGTATACTTAAAATTTGGCAAGAACCCTTGGAGGATTTAATTAATGTAGATTTCAGATTGTGTTTGGTTTCCAGGTTTTTCATGGTTTGATAAATGTCGAGAGCTTATTTATTATTGGAGAGAAAGTAGCTGTCCTTGGAAATCTCTTAGGTCGTTCTCCAATCCCCCCAAAAAAAAAAAAAATTGGAGAGAAAAAGAGGAAAAAAAACTAATTTCATTATAGCATTAATTTGTCAGGCGATAGTGTTCCATGAGGAATTGGTAATGGTAAATCTACCAACTCCTCTGAGTTGATTTCTCGTCTTCTTCATTTGATTACTTGAATTATTACATATATATTCGGAAAGCTTTATTACTTTAGAGTTTAGACGAATATGAAGTTCCCTCAGATTTTCAAATATTTTCCTCTGATTTAATACCTTTTTATTGGCTGACTTGCAATGTTTCTCAACATCATTTCAGGAAATTTTAGGAACTGTACCAGAAGGATTTGATGGCTATTTTAGGTGTCGGTTTCCCAAATTACTAATTGAAGTGTATAAAGTGATGTCAGATTACTGTAGAAATGAAGAATGTTTCCAGAAGTACTTCACAAGCAGTGTACTCTGACTCCTCCAAATAGCGCCTGAATCTTGTTCAATACCTGAATGTATGATGTAACATGTAATGTAGTCTATATATGTAAATATGATCAACCTATATATTCTTATTGAAGTGTATATTTATGTCGACCAACATTTCACTTCTTTCTTTCTTAATGCTCCAAGTTATTTTTCGTTGTTCAGCGATTGGACAGAATTGGTTGCTTTGTTGATGTGTTAGATGGAGATGCTTTCTTTTTCTTCTCCGCTATTTGGAAATGCTTACATAAAAAAATAAAATAAATAAGATCACCCCCTCCCCCCTCTTTTGGGGTCTATAACCTGAGAGCTGGGCAGTGCGGCCACGTGGATTGGCCAGGGGCTTCTACGGCTAATGAGACCTCAATCCTGAAGCTTCTTAAGTACTCTTTTTATTTTTATGGAGAATTCACGACAAGAGTTTAGAAGTGCACTTGTCTTTAGCCCCCCGGCCGTCAAAGGGCGTTTAGTAGCAGTACATGTCAAACTAGAAAACACTATAGGTGGGGTGGCAGAACTAGTGCTCGAAAATTGCTTTCCCTTGCATGAATTTGGCAGATATTGGCATATGAGCTTAACATTGCACTTGTCATAATCAATATTGAGCTAAAAGCCTTTTTAGGCAAGGACAGATGTATACACACAAGGATCAGCAGGATTCTGAGGTTGCATGGCTATTTTTCCAATGACAACGGACACTTGGTAAAATATGATAGCAGCGCCTTGCAAATAAAGATTCATTCGACCTATATAATTACATTTTGGGAAGACTAGTACACATTGTTAGGAACTACGCAGATTCTCTAAAACTTACAACCCTGTTTGAGTATATCTCAGAACGGTCAATCCTTGAACCATTTACTGATGCATCTTGATCAACACTTCTAACTGAAGTCGCGTCCAGTTGCCTTCGTTTGGACCTAGACCTCACTGACTCTTCCTTTTCGTCAGCAAAAGAAAGGAATGTCTGGAGTCGTCCTGATCGCGAGCTTCCCCCAGAGGACTCAGACTCGGGATAATAGTGGCAATATTGGCATGTTATCATCACAAAATATATGAGCAGTGCCAGAAAACATGCTAATCCACATAGGAAGAATAAACCTGAGAAGCTTTTCAGTTGAAGCCTGTCCACTTCAAGCTTTGTATTCTGTGAAGTACAAGCAATTCCAGAAAGCCATTTATCATGGATCCTTTGAAGTTCCCCATTTTCTGATAGTTTCANATAATAGTGGCAATATTGGCATGTTATCATGACAAAATATATGAGCAGTGCCAGAAAACATGCTAACCCACATATGAAGAATAAACCTGAGAAGCTTTTCAGTTGAAGCCTGTCCACTTCAAGTTTTGTATTCTGTGAAGTACAAGCAATTCCAGAAAGCCATTTATCATGGATCCTTTGAAGTTCCCCATTCTCTGATAGTTTCAGAATTGCAGTTGACATGTCAACCGCTAGAGGAGAGTCCCTAGGGAAAGCCTAGGAGAAAACAAAGAAAATGAAGGACATTATTCTCAAATGTAGACAGATCAATGCATAAACCCTTCATAACAAAATCGTTATAATTTGAAGGTAAAAAAAGGGCAGCCCGGTGCATTAAGCTCCCGCTATGCGCGGGATCCGGGGAAGGGCCGGACCACAATGGTCTATTGTACGCAGTCTTACCCTACATTTCTCCAAGAGGCTGTTTTCACGGCTCGAACCCCGTGACCTCTTGGTCACATGGCAGCAACTTTACCAGTTACGCCAAAGCTCTCCTTCTATAAGTTGAAGGTACCAAAAGAAAAAATATATATTCAAGCCTAGTCAAGGACAACTTCTGTGTGAAGCAAGCACCATGTTATGTCAAGAGAGATATACTAATCTCCTCTCCTTCCAAATATCAAGCTAACAGTATGATTCACCTTCAGAAGCATGTTTCAAGCAGAACTTATAACTAAGGAACAATGGGAAAAAACCATGCATCAGTGAAAAGTGTATTTTGTTGGCCTATTTGCAAGCTTTAGATGTAGAGATTTCTACTTCTCATGCATTATCACATTCGTTAGTTGGTTAGGCTGAAGTCACAGGATTCATAATTTCATCATCTCTTTATGTTGCAAATAATTTTTAATAAGCTGTTAGTATGATCAATTGGTCATGGTGTGAGATAAATTCACAAAAAGGCAAAAGCAGGTTCACATGTATAAGGAAAGGTGAAGTTGACAGAGAAATACTTACGAACCCCCATCCATTTTTTGTGAACTCTTGACCTAGAATACTGAATTGGCAACGCGTTGAGAGGAAAAGCTCCATATAGGCACGCTCATCTACTATAGCAGCAACACCACCGTGACTAGGACCATCTTTTAAAGCTTTAGCATAATCTTCGGGCAGGTTAAGAGGAACAAGTCTAGATTCATGAATGCCAAGTTCTTCAATCAGATAGTTACGGGCAAATGAACCTAATTGATAACCAATGGGGTCCTTTGTATTTACTAAACTTTCAATTCCTGTAATTGGTGAAGAAAGCTTCTGCACTGTAAGAATTGAGGTGAGGCTGGCAGTGTAGCTCGAGTTAATTATCAATACCACAAATAGCCATATAAGGAGGACAATGCGGCCAAGGGTGCTAACAGTGTTTTCTCCTGCATGCAAAAGTGATCTTTGTCAAAGGAAGCTCATTCAAGTGCAAGTGTAGATATAACTCCACTAGCATGAGTTACTTACTGTGGGCATTAAAGAGAGTTGAAAAGCTGAACCTGCAAAAAGAGTTTTACATAGGAAAAGGTCAAACCTTTGTTGTATAAAGATAGATAGCTGTTGCGGAATATCGTGGGTTAACTAGCGCACAATCACACACAAAGCAAATAGAGAAGAAAAATCAACACAAGGATTTAACGAGGTTCGGCCAAGCCTTAATCCTCCGGGCAAAAGCAGAGAGAGTTTTCCACTATGAATGAGAAAAGAAGCACAATACAATCTATAGAATTCTCAACTACAACCCCTATATATAGATCCCAAAAGATCACAAACATATATGAGAAAGGTTTCCCAATTTGACAAGGAATATAGCTATTAGGCTCAAACACATCAATGGTCTCTGCAACAGACAGAGCGAACTCCACAAAATTAGCATATCCAAGAAAATTACCATCAGCTACGTTTGCAAACCTTTGTGGTGGATTGATCACTCTCTTCTCTCTGCCTGTTGCAATGCTATAGGGTTGTTGCACAGGTGCATCAACATTATTGTCTTGATCAATATTTTGCACCTCCTCCACTTCCTCTACTTTAGAACTACTGGGTTGAGCTAG